AGGTGGGTGAGGATAGCATTAGACCTATTCGCTTTGTGCCACATACTGAGGTTTCGCAACATAAAGTGGGCAAATGCTCCTATAAGCCCTATCTACAATTTCACGCTTTTGTGCCTAATAAAGTTGTTGTTGCTGTTGTTGTTTTGCAAATTTTGTCGATAATGGGTGTAGCGGTGGAGGAAAATATATTAACTTGGTCATCTTACCGTTACTCCCCATGGCTGATATATTTGCAAAATGAGAAATTATAGCAACTGTCAACGAAATAGGGTGCCTTTCGGAAAAATCGTCCCACGCGCGCTACTTTTAAAGAACCACAGAAAACTAGATAACACTAAGAAGTATATCAAGTATAGACTGAGGAAATGACATAAGTTCTCACAGTTTTTGATTCGGTAAGCGCATGCGAGCCTTTAAACACAACTAGCGGTGTTTGCCTAGCTAAATTACCAGCCTCGGCGTTTCTGCGGACCTCCAGTAAACAAACTGAACAGTTTCACTCAACAGATAGTAGTCTAACAAAGTGTATGAGGCTTTTTTTCGATGTTCCTATCGGTTCCTGAGAAAACTATTTGGAAGTTGGACAACGAAAATATTTTGCTTGTTATGATCCTACGTCTGAAGAGAAATATTTCGATTCTCGTATATGCCTCACAATATTTGCTGCGTTGATATCTGACGAAAATTCCAGCCAATTTTCATGAAAATCCAACAAATCTACATACCTATGTTAATTCGTTCAAGTCGAGGTATTTCTCATTACTTTTCTCAAACTGCAAAAATATGGGTTCCGTAGGTTCCGCATGTTCCGCAGATTATGCGGTCTGCTGATCGACAGGTTAATAACACCCAGTTTCAATCAATTTTTCTTGACCGATGTTAGCAATTATTGTTAATAACAAAAAATTGAGCTTTTAATCTAAGTTTATGTACCAAGAAATTTAGGTGGCAACTTTTTGGAGTTTTGGCAATTTTTTTACAACTATTTGACATTCCACCAAGAAGTTTAATTTCCGTTATTTTACGACAATCAGGACAGCCCTTTCGCTCTTCGCTACAGTTTCCTCTTTCAGCCGTATCTCGCGTTCTTTTCAAAATGTTGTGAATTTCTCTCGACAAATTAAACTTAACTGCTTTCTTTGACTAAAGAGCAAAAAAGATAAATTTGAAATTTTGACCAGATTTTGGTGAAAGTGATCTAAATAAGTTAACATACAAGACAAAAGAAATTATTCTAAATCTTTTTACCTCCATCCTGTCTTCTTGTAAGGGCTAAATATACCGTCAATAATAGCAGCAGTTAATTCAGCTCCCGCCAGAAATAGATAGTGGACGGAGACTAAACTACCTCTTATACTCCATGGCGCAATTTCAGCAATATAAACTGGAACGGTCATAGACACCCCTCCTGCAAACAATTAAAGAAAAAAAAAGGTCTTCTCATCTAGCTCACCGAATATCATTACAAGCAAAGATAAACACAATTTAGTTTTTATTTCAAATTCTTCTTAGTTTTTGAGAGGGAGTTTTTTACCAAAACTAGTGTATTTCAACTTATTCAAAATAGGATATTCGGCTGCATAACCTTTCAACCCCTAGAATGGAGGAGACGCATACCTATAATTTTCATTTGTATTGTCGATAATTATTTCAAAATATGAACGCCTAAAATCAATGGATATTACTCCCATCTTGTTGTGGTTTCCGGCCTTCTCTGCCGTTTTAAGCTTGCTTTACAATCACTGTTACTTCGTCTTATAACAGGAATAACAGCGACGGCAAAGCAAGCTTAAAACGGCAGAAAATGTGAGTAGGTTTTATTAGTTTAACGTGTATAATGTTATTATTTCGAAATATTTACCGTCGTAAATCGACCATGTTTCGTTCCATATATCAGGGACCTTTAGCAGTCAGGAAGGCAACGCCAAGGAAGACTTCGATTAAAATATAAATTTCTGCCTTTGATTAGAATTTCAAAATTTGGCTGCGTGTGTTTACCGTCTCATAGAGCGTCACACCTCGACTTCAGCATAACGTATAAAAGAAGCGTTTAGTTCCAAATGGAAATTAAAATCATTTGCCGTCGCGGTTTCGGTTCGCAGACGACGCAAATTTTGCTGATTTCACGTTGTTGTTTTGCATAGGATGGCTAAGAAATGTACACAGTTTTAAAACGCACGTGCTGAGCAATTGAGCTCGTTACCGTCGCCGTCGTAGTTTGCTTAAGCTCCCTATTATTCCTTATAACGTGTTCAAATTCTCAGCGATTCCTCTCGAAACTTGCCCCGGGTCGAGCAACCCTTGGCACTTTTTAAGAATTTTAATTCATGAAAAGATTGTCCGCTTTCTCTCGAGACGTGCCCTTGAGACGTCCGTGCTCTAAGGAGCCTTTCATTAAGGTACTTACCGCCGTTCTTGAGCTTGTGAGAACTTTTGATTCCGAGATTTACGGCGATAACTATGCAAATATTGCATAGCGATTTACAAATTACAGATATTACGCAAAGCCTACTTTTTTCTTATTTACCTATTCCAAAACCGACAATGAGCCGACCAATGAGTAGAGCATTTCTCGATGTAGCAATTGTCTCCACCACGGCTCCTATCGTTAGCACCATCGCACAAGCTAAAAGCACGGGTTTTCGCCCACATCGTTGATTCCCAAAGCCTCCCAGAAGTGCTCCCACTATGGCTGTACCAATTGCTACGCTCACAATGAGCTCTTGCCAAAATGTCGACAAATGAAACTCT